GTATGCAATGTGTTAATTATTGAAACTGTCCTACCAATTTGATTTGAAACTGTCCCACTGCTATTTGTCTCTCAATAAAATTATGGAAAAAAATAAAAATAAATATGCCTCACAGATCTAGAGAAAACATTCAAAAAATTCATCTGGACTCAGAAGAGACTTACAATAGCAAAAGCAATCCTGTGTAACAAAGGAAAGGCAGGAGGCATCACAATCCCTGACTTGAAGTTATACTACAAAGATACTGATAAAATCAGCATGATATTAGCATAAAAACAGACGTGATGATCAACAGAACAGGCTGGATGATGAAAAAGCAACTAAAAACACACTCAGTCACTTTGCCTCTCACAAAGGGGCCAATTATGTTCAATGGAAGAAAAATAGCCTCTTTAATAAACGGTGCTTGAAAAACTGGCTTTCCACATTTCAAAAGCTAAAATTAGACACCTATCTATCACCATGCAATAAAATGCAGTTAAAATGGATCAAAGATTTAATATTAAAACTGGAACAATAAATCTATTGGAAAAGAAAATAAGTACAAATCTTTTTTTCTTTTCTTTTTTTTTTTTTTTTTTCAGTACCAGGGATTGAACTCAGGACCCTGTGCTTGCCAGGCAAATGCTTATTCTACTGAGTCCCTAAGTACAAATCTTGAAGACATTGAGTTAGGTAGAGAATTCATGAACAAAAAACAAACTGCACAGGAAATACTTCAAAGAATCAGCAATTGGTATTGTATCTTTCTGGAGTTTATGCACTTCAAATAAAAATCACCAACAGAAGAAAAATAAAACCCATAAATTGGGGGGGGGGGATTTAGTCAATTGGCCCACAGACAAAGGACTTCTATCTGGAACATTTGAATAAATAAAAAATGTAGGTCCCCAAATTTCAAAAACTCAATCCAATAATGGGCATCTAAAATGAATACACACTTCTCAAATGAAGAAATACAAACGGTAAATAAATGTTCAACATCATGGGCCACTTGAGAAATGCAAATTTAAAAAAACACAACACTGAGATTCCATCTCACCCCAGGAAGAATGGCTATCATCAAGAAGTCAACCAATAAGAAATACTGGAGGTGCTGAATGAAAAAAAAAAAAAAAAAAAAAGACAGCCCTTCTTCATTGTTGGTGAGAGTGCAGACAGCTACAACCACTATGAAAATCCTCAAAAAGATAGAATTGAGTGTCCCATTCAACTAAGCTATTCCTCTCCTAGGTATTTTTCTAACTAAACTGAAAACATCATAACCCAGCAATATATGTGCAACCATGTTTATGATAGTACAACTTGTCAGAGCTAAATCTTGGAAACAGCACAAAAGCCCATCATCTGAGGAATGGATTAAAAAGGTATATTGATTGCTCTTATACAATGGAGTATTACTTAGCTATAAAAAATATAAACTTTAGGCTTTTAGAGATTAATGGATACAAACAGACCATACTGGTAAGTGAAATAAATCGCACTTGCATGTGCAAATATCACGTTGTCTCACTAGTGTAAGAACCTAAAAGAGTAAATAAAATCTGAAAACTACAATAAATAGTCTGAAAGGGAAAGAATTTGTTCAAATGTAAGGGAAACCTGGAGTTAGTATATGAACAAAAGAAAGGATGAAGGGATAATGACATATATATGTTCATCTACTAGATACTTTGTGTAATTGTGCTGCTGATTTCTGCTGGTCTATTGACAGGAGCAATTAATACTTGAATTTTTTTCTTCTCCTTTTTTAATTTCTTGTAACATTTTTACCAGTTTTTCATGCTTATATCTGATAAACTAAACAACTAACTTAAAAACAACATTAAACACTGTAACAACCATTGTTCAATTCCTATTAATTTGTTTTTGGTGCAATTCTGTATAGCTTCTAATTTTTTTTACTGATTTTTATTTTCCATAAAAAATAAGCAAAAATAAAAAGTAGAGAAAGATATGGATCCACACTAAGGGATTTTATGAGTGATGATGCCTACATTTTTGGTAGCATGGAAGAAACACTTTCACACATTCAGTAGCATTATATTTTTCACATTTAGATCTAAAAAGTCTTCCATATTTTTCATGTGTGTCAAATAGGATCACATGGATGTAATATTCATCAATGGGCTTATTTACTAATGAATTCTTAATTAAATGTGAATTAACATGTAGGTCCGGTGTCAGAAAAAGCAGATCTGTCTGGTTTTGCTTTTTATGGGTTTGTTTTTCTTTTTCTTTTCTTTTTTTTTTTTTTTAAGTACCAGGGAATCAACTCAGGACCTTGAACTTATCAGGCAAGTACTTATTCTACTGAGCTATCTCTCCAGCCCCAGATCTCTCTTATTTTGACTGGAATTTGACCTGGAAAAGGGTATTGCCCTCCCACAATACACTCTCTGACCCTTGCTACCCTGATATGGGCAGGTGTCCTTTAACCTTATCCTTTCGCCATGGACTAAAAACATCAGCCAAAGTAAAATTATCCTCCTATATCTATATACTATGTGTGTTTCAGTGTATGAAGTAAAATTTAGTGTCAGAATTTCTGTGAAAGGATAAATTACATTCATAAATAAAAAGTATAGTGCAACTAAAACTTCCTGCATGATATTTATTTAAACAACAGCATTTACAAAATTAAGAGTAGAAAGAAAAAAAAGAGAAGAAAGAAATTCTAAATCCAAAAATGGCACTTAAGCATAATGTACCCCACCTCTGGGAGCACCCAAGGCCAGGCACCATGGCACACGCCTATAATCTCAGCGCTGGGGAGACTGAAAACAGGAGGATCACTCAGGGTCTGGCTGTGTAGTGAGACCCTGTACTAAATACATTAAAGGACTAATAATAATAATAATAATAATAATAATAATAATTTTAAAAGCCTAAAGTAAACCTCCACATTTTGTGTTACATTTTGAAAGCAAATTTAGAGTAGGATTTCCCATGACACCACTTCTACTCAACCTTACACTGAAAGCCTGTGCTAATGCTACAGGCTCAGGACAGTGTCCACAAGTGAGAATGTAAGCAAATGAAAGGAGCACAGCTGGAAGCATCCCCCAGTGTTACTCTTGTGTGAGAATTAAGTACAGTAAATTAATAGTTGAATTCAGTGCTACTGGAATAGCAGATTGGAATACATGATTGTAACAAAACCTTATTTCTACAGTTCAGTCATTACCCATTCATAAATGAAATTGGAAAAGTCACTTGTGCCATATCTTAAAAACTATTTTTTTTTTTTTGGTGGAACCAGGGATTGAACTCAGGCCATTGCGCTTGCGAGGGAAGCACTTATTCCACTGAGTCATCTCCACGGACCCTTAAAAACTATTAACTGTACAATAAAACATTCTATAAGGCTTTATAAAGCTACCATATTTAAATATAGGGCAATTCTTATAACTATGAAATATACATAAGTGACAGAATAAATCATGATCTTAAATAGACTCAATAGTGAAAATATGATTTGATCTAGGGATTCAATCCAATTTCAGTGAGAATTCCAATAAAGTTATCATAAAAACTACAACCTTTCACTGGTCAATGGTTCACATGGTGGAGAGGAGAGAGAGAGAGAGAGAGAGAGAGAGAGAGAGACAGAGAGACAGAGAGACAGAGAGAGAGAGACAGAGAGAGAGAGACAGAGAGAGAGAGACAGAGAGAGAGAGACAGAGAGAGAGAGACAGAGAGAGAGACAGAGAGAGAGACAGAGAGAGAGACAGAGAGAGAGAGACAGAGAGAGAGAGACAGAGAGACAGAGAGAGACAGAGAGAGAGAAGAGGAAGGCAGGGAAGTAGAGAGAGATGAGAGAATATATGTTAAATATGTTTCCCTACAATGTAGAAAATTATATTGTTTTCTAACCAAGTGATTGTTTATTAAATGAACATATGAGGGAGAAATTTCCAGAGGCTTAATTTAGATAAATAGGTCTTTTATTGCTTTGTGAAGATTAAAAAATGACTTTATGAAAAATTAAAGACAACACACTAATTACCACACCATGCAGAAATAGAGTATTAATTGGGAGATTTTGTCTGTAGAATATAACTTTCATTGATGTCTAAAGAACCAAAGAAAAACCCAATCAGAGTGAAAACTTCATACTCTTAGTACTCTTGAGGGCTGAGGGAAAGGACCAAGAACTTGAGCACAGCTGTAACAAACTGTGTATAAGTGAGACACTATTTCAAAATTAAAAATAAAAGTGGCAAGGCACATTGCTCAGTAAACCACTTAAATTCAATTCCTACTACTAACAAAGAGGAACACAAAAACTAAAATTATTAGGAAAATGGAAATTTGGAGAAGAAAAACTATGAGATTCTGTGAGTGAGTCAGTAAGAAAAAAAAGAATGAAGTTGAGCTAATGACAATTTAAATTTCTTGTTAGATATGGAGCAGTGTGTGAAGTGTGCAGATCACCAATATGCCAACATGGAGCAAAACCTCTGCCTCCAGAAGTCTGTGGCTTTTCTGGCTTATGAAGACCCCTTGGGGATGATACTGGCTGGCACAGCCTTGGGCTTTACAATTGTCACAGTTCTTATTCTTGGGCTCTTTGTGAAGCACCGAGACACTCCCATCATCAAGGCCAACAACAGGGCTCTCAGCTACACCCTGCTCATCTCCCTCACCTGCTGTTTCCTCTGCTCCTTGCTCTTCATTGGCCGTCCCAGCACAGCCACCTGCATCCTGCAGCAGACCACATTTGGACTTGTGTTCACTGTGGCTGTTTCCACTGTCTTGGCCAAAACCATTACTGTGGTGCTGGCCTTCAAGGTTACTGCTCCAGGCAGAAGAATGAAACAGTTGCTGGTGTCAGGGGCACCAAACTCCATCATCCCCATGTGCTCCCTGATCCAGCTCACTCTCTGTGGAGTCTGGATGGGGACAAATCCACCCCACATTGACACAGATGCTCACCCTGAACATGGCCACATCATCATCGTGTGCAACAAGGGCTCCCTCACTGCCTTCTACTGTGTCCTGGGATACTTGGGCTGCCTGGCCCTGGTGAGTTTCACTGTGGCTTTCCTGGCCAGGAACCTGCCTGACACCTTCAATGAAGCCAAGTTCCTGACATTCAGCATGCTGGTGTTCTGCAGCGTGTGGGTCACCTTCCTGCCCGTGTACCACAGCAGCAAGGGGAAGGCCATGGTGGCTATGGAGGTCTTCTCCATCTTGGCCTCCAGTGCAGGGCTGCTGGGCTGCATCTTTGTCCCCAAGTGCTACATTATTTTGTTAAAGCCAGATAGAGTTTCTCAGCACAGGTTCAGAGACATAACTCATTCTGCTAGGAAAAAGCCATCTTAAATTAAAATACAGGCATTTCCTAAAATGGACAAGGTCCTTCAGAAAAACTGCAGCACTGTTTTTTATCATGATTAGATTAAAACTTTGGATTTACTTCAGTTAATAACTTGTCCCTACATTGTTCTCTAGTAGTCTCTAAGCCACTGTCTCTTGTAACAATCACTTTTTCTTTAAATAAAATTTTGAGATTATTTTCCTCTTATAAAATCTAAAATCAAGGGATGAGGAGATAGCTCAGTAGAATAAGCACTTGCCTGGCAAGTGTAAGGTCCTGAGTTCAATCCTCAGTACCACAAAATTAAAAAATTAAAAAACTAAATCTAAAATCAATTAAAATATTTTTGTTTAAGTTTGATTACAATTCTCACTTTTATTTTGTGCAAGTTGACCTTCTCAATAATTTTTACAAATTATTAGCATAGAAAATTTTGTGCACTGAATTCTTTACATTTAAATTTGCAATTTATTCCATTAAGGCTTTCCCCTTAAAGAATTATTATACTATAAATATGCTGATCATTTTTTTCATTAAATAAATACATCTACATGAATTTAAATGTCCAGAGCACAATACAATGGGGTCTCTTTAATACCTTACATAATTCAAGATTTACATGTACAGAAGTATATGAACAAATAATAGTCTGCAAGTATAAAAGCTGACATAACTCAGACATTTTGCTATTAACACATATTTTTGTGAACAACAATAATGACTTTAAATTTTCCAGAGATCTTTCTGTGGAATACTGAATGGAGTATATATACAGAATGGAAAAAAGCAAACAAACATATCTTCCTTGTACTATTAGGTGAACCCTGTATAGTAACTAATATTATTCAGCAAATTCGATCAGTGCACATAGTTCATTCGTGTCTGAAATTATAATTTTAGCTAAAATTTTTCAAAGTCTAAATTTATGCTTTATAGCTGTTGCTGGATTCCCCATACTACATCTTTCATAAAATGAAATGGGATACAAATATGTTTTAAAACTCACAACTTTGGTCCTCATAAGTTAGCAAAGTATATTTTTAAAGAATTTTTTTCTTTTTTAATTTTTTTTTTATTTTAAAGAGAGTACAAAATAATGAACATAGAGACACAGTCCTAGCCCAGGTCCGGTGAGTGTGTGGAGAGCTTCCTGCTACCCTGCGCCTGCGGGACCAGTCCCAGCCCAGGCGCAGCGTGGGCGGGACCCTCTCGCATCCCCTCGGGCTGCCCCCCACCACTCTGCAGTACCTCCCCCACCCCTTCCGCTGAGTAGGAATTTCTGTCGACTTCCGGAAACCCCCAGACCCAGTCCTAGCCCAGGTCCAGTGAGTGTGTGGAGAGCTGCCTGCTACCCTGCGCCTGCGGGACCAGTCCCAGCCCAGGCGCAGCGTGGGCCGGACCCTCTCGCACCCCCTTGGGCCGCCCCCACCACCCCGCAGTACCTCCCCCACCCCACCCGCCGAATAGGAACATCTGCCGACTTCCAGGAACCCCAGACCCAGTCCTAGCCCGGGTAGAGTGAGTGTTTGGAGAACTTCCTGCTACCTTGCACAGGCAGAACCTGTCCCAGCCCAGGTGCAGCATGGGCCGGACCCTCTCCCAGCCCCTTGGGTCACCCCCACCACTCCGCAGCACCTCCCCACGCCGCCTGCCGAGGAGGAATTTTAAGGTATTCTGGGAACCGACAGACCCAGTCTTAGCCCAGGTCCAGTGAGTGGGTGGGAGAGCTTCCTCTTCCCCCTATTTCACCTTGCCCCCTCCAGGCACAGCTCAGGCCTGGCATACATGCCTGAGGTGTAACCCTGCAGCTGCAATCCCTGCAGACAGTGTAGAGGATAGATCCAACCAGCTAGTCCAGGAGCAGAACATCTTGCCACAGGGGCACAACATATTGACCCTGAAGGGCAGCAGCAGGAAGGAGCTGAGCGCAGCAGCGAGACCTAAGCCACACGCAGCTGGATAAGTCCAAACTTTGTAGAGCTGCACCTGAACGTCAGTACGTGCAAAGGTTATAACTACAGGAATGATCTACAACAAAGGGCAGAAGACAGTGGTACACAAAATGACGAGAAGGAACAAAATGCAACCTCAGAACCCAAGCCCACCCGTAACAAGTGCAGAGGACACTAAAACAGAACAAATTGGAAATCACACAGCTGAAAGCAATGAATCAACAGCGTCTGAAATAAAGAAACAGCTACAGAAAGATATAGAAGACCTCAGATTGAAAATGAAAAAAGAAATCCCTGAATTAATAACATCTGCACTAAAGAATCAAATGCAGAAACATATCGAAGAAACTCAGTGCCCACCCAGAACAAATGAGGAGGACACTACCTGGGCTCAAATGCATGAATTAAGAGCGTTGATAATAAATAAGCAACAGCAGAAAGATATACAGGAAATCAGAGCACAATTCTTTTCTGAAATAAAAAAAGAACTCTCAGAACTCGTAGCAGATGAAGTAAAGAAGCAACTACAGAAACATAAGCAGGAAACCCAATCTGAAAAAAACACTGAAGTAAAAGAATTTCTAACTGCTTCTAAAGAAGATATTGAAAAAAAAAAATAGAGGAGATTAGAAAAATGACGGATTCCCTAAATGAGCAATACAGGAAAGAAATAGATTGCATGAAGCAGAGTCAAAGAGATAGAGAGGAAATCAAAATTTCAATCACAAGCTTGCAAAACCATTTGAGTGAAAGTGAAGATAGAGTTTCACATCTTGAAAATGCTGTCACAGCTAGTTAAAAGGTAAGAAAAGATCTCCTAAAAACAACAAAGATGCAAGAAAAAATAATCTATCAACTGAAAGATGATACAAAGGTGAACAATGTGAGACTACTAGGCCTCAATGAGAAAGAAAGAGTCCATACAAATTATATAAAAAGAATATGGGGAACTGGTTACCTGACTGGAACTACAACGCAGCCCACAGGCTGGTGCTATGAACCCCATCCCGCAGATGGAGACGTGGGTACTAATGTTAAACCAATCTCCATAGAAGCTGCATTGGAGGGAACTCACACTCGGGTTTAAGTGAGGCACCCCAGCGTGGAGCGGCTGGGGCAGGCAGCCCAGCACCGCCCAGCGGAATCGCCCGCTTTCCGGCGACCCGGCCAGGCAGCGCGCGGGGAGCCGAGCCCGCAGGGCCGCAGTGCGCAGGCGCGGAGGCGCGGGCCGG